AGGGCAATTCATACAATACATTTAAACTGAGCTACTTTAATACCATCTCCGAACTTTCTACCACGACTCTGCAGTTCTTCGGCTGGTTCTTCCCTGTATAAGTTGATTGACAGATGTTTCGTCCAGTCAGCGGTGAGTAATCCCAAACCAATGGCGCTGTCTCAAACTGTACCTACCTTTTCCAGTTTGTCTGATTTGTCGTTGTGTTTTCTGACTTATTTTGTTTTCGAATTTGTCATTGTGTTTTCTGACTTGTTATAATGTTTTCTGAATTGTTATTTTGTTTTTTAGACTTGCATTTGCGTTTGTAATTTGTTCTTTTGTTTTCAGAATTGTGATCTGTTCTGCACTTCTCGGCCACCGTACTTCTGCGCAAGCGCTCTCTATTCATGTGCTAAATCTAATAACCCAGAAAGCGATTGCTTCATTTCTGGGGTTGATGGGGATATAAAGGTCCAACTAGAGAATGCAATATAACTGCTAACTACATTTTGCAATAATTTGTAATTATTCGCTGAGGGTTTGTTTGGATTTTTCAAGAGTCTGACCACAAAAAGAGCATGTGTGTCGATCATTATACAGTCCGGCATGTTTCATGGTACCAGTTATTAATAGTTTTATGACTGACTATGATAAAACTATGTTTTAGAACATAATTTCTAACTCATTTCCCCTTTATATGCATTCTCTGTATGTTTTGGGAATGCACCAGTTGTTGTATTTATCATCTTCTCCATTATTAATAATTAACAGAACATTAAATAAGAACATGTGTACAAACTCACTGTGAGTTTCTCAATCTGGAATCTGAACCTGATGTTTTCTGCTCAGAATAGACACAAATGGAATCTTGGGATCTGGAGTTCAAATTCATTAGGTTAGTGAGTGAGTCAGAGCACTGGTGCAAAATGCCTGTCAGAGCGCTTTGCTGGCTGGGGTTACAGCGGAGGGTAGCTCTTGACATTGTCAATGTACACATGCCAATTTAAAATACAAACAAAGAACAAGA